CTATACGGCTTCACTAGGATCTTAGCTTTCTCCTTTGCAAGGTCTCTCTGTATCTCTGTTTGTCTGTCTGTCTCTCTCTCTGATTTTTCACTCTTCAAGAGCCTGGTGTTCTTTAAACGTTGGCCTTGAGGTTCTAACAGGGTAATAGCTGAGACTGCAATATTTCTTGAGGCCTAGGGTCAAAACTCATACAATAATAATTTTTTTAAAAAACCTCTTGCTTCCATTTCTTGGAGTTCATTTTGATAAGCATCATTTTATATGGTCATATCCACATCACTATTGAGCAGCCATTATGATGCTCCGCTAAGAATATCCTAGACATATTCTAGTTATTACAAATGAGGGGAATCATGTTCCTCTTAATATAATTTTTCCAAGTCTTTCCATCTCCTTATGAATTGGGCAAGGTAAAATGATTCTTATAGAAATGAATTCCAAGAAATGGAAAGAAGAGGGTGTTTTGTTCTTGTTGTTTTTACTGTACTGTCTGCATTTATTTCTTTCTCCCTCCACTCACCCCTTTTGTTTTACTCCCTGTTGTCACTGTTTTGAAGTTCATCTGATTTGGGGAAAGGAAGGGGACTTACAGAAACAGTGGGACAAAGGGTGAACCAATCCAACAGTAATACTCACTAGACACTTCGTTGGAAATGAACTTTACTACTTGGGGGAGGAGGGGAGTTGGGGAGAGGCAAAGTAGGAAAAAATGAGGGGGGGTAACACTGTTCAAAAAGAAATATACTCGTTACCTTACTTATGTAACTGTAACTCCTCTGTACATCACCTTCACAATACATTTTTTTAAACACTTAACATCAACCACCAAAGAGAAATATACTCATTACCTTACTTATGTTAACTGTGACTCCTCTGTACATCACCTTCACAATACATTTTTTTAAAACATTTTTTTAACAACATCAACCTCCACCATACAATGTTGTAGCCCATGCAGGCCTGGGACACACCACCACAACTAAACTCACAACCAGCTGCTCAAGTGGTAAACAGTCTACCCTAGCAAGCATTAGGTCCTGAGTTCAAGGCCTAGCTCTACTGGCCCTGGTTCAGCATGCAGCATTGATTATATTAGTGTATCTCAAATTATAGTGAAGAAGTATTTTTTTTTAATTCCCAATCTGTAGTGGATCAGCACTCATGCTTTTCCTCCCTCCTTCCCTCTCTTCCTTTTTCTTCTCTCCCTCCACTCTCTTTTCTTTCCCTTTCTGTTTTGTGTTGTTATTAAATATATACCATCATGATTGCTAATTAAGCAATTATGTATCACTAAGCCTTATACTCCTGAGTCTAGGAACATTACATTCATATAATGCAAAATTAGCATATATTTGGATGTCACAGCAATATTAAATTGTAATATAGGAATCTGTGAGCTGTGAGTGGTAGTATGCACCTGTCAACTCAGTTATATGGGAGACATTAGTAAGAGAATCACAGGCTAAGATCCTATCTTAAAAAATAGCTAAGGCAAAAAAGGTCTAAGGACATGGCTCAAATGGAAGTACATCTGCCTAACAACCGGAAAGACCTAAGTGCAAGTGCCAGTACTGCCCCTCCTCAAACTTTCTGCCTGTGTATCTTTTGTTTTTGACTTGTTGCACACAGGTCTACTTCACTTTAAGAAGCACCAAGTTACATAGCCTGTAAGACATTCTAAAGTTCCACAATTTTTTCAAGGTTAGCCTGTCCTTCTCCAATATGGTGTTCACTGGATATTTTTCAGCAACTTAACAAAAGTGGCAATCTATAATGATTAAATCAAGGATGTGAGATTTTTACTGCATTAATCTTTTACTACATTAAAATGGCAAAATTCACTTTTTACCAAAACACATCTGAATGCTCATTTACAACTAGTTACAAAAAATTTATTTTCAGCCATATTTCACACTTAATTTTCTGGTGTCACTTTCTTTGCACAACCTGATAATGAAATGTGTAACAAATTATAGTTGATCACACATACAGTTCCAAATTTATCCTACCAGCTGGTAGCAAAACCAACAGAAAAGTTACTTTGGAGTGAGGTAAGAAAACATATTCATAAATTGCAGGCACTGATAGAAGACTGAAGTATTTGCAACTGCCTGTATACCCAGTAGTAACCTAGTCCGAAAAAATGGTAAAGAAATTATAAAAGGTGAGGAGGGGGCAAAATTAAGTTCGTCAGTCCTATGATTTCCCAAACAATCTTGTCTTCCCCTCATCAGGCCAATGAGGCATTTTGGCTTAAAATCTGTTATCTTCTTCCCATTGAAATAAAACAAGCTTTCTTCTCATGAGAAACTTTTTAGATATTTGAACTATTATAATTCCAACTGTATCACATACAATGGCTCTAGTGTTCCTTAGATCACTATACTTCTATTATGCAAGAATTCTTGACTGGATGGGTTTTAAGAAGTTCAAAAATCCTCTGAAACTTGAAATGTTTTAAACTTGGATGAATGATAAAAAAATGAAAAAAATGTCCAGTGTCAATTTTTTTAATGATACTGATACCGAGGCTTAGTCACAGAGCCTGGTGCTCTTACTTGGCTTCTTTCACTGAAAGCTGGCACAGCTTCCTTTCCAGCTTTTTGCTGGTTACTTAGAGATTAGATTCTCACTGACTTTTATGTCTCAGCCAGTTTTAAACTACCATTACCATACCTCAACCTCCTAAGAGCTAGGTGTGAGACATTTGGTGCCTAGCTTCAATACATTCTTTTTCAAAAAATATATAATTTTGTTATTACTAAAGTTTTCTACAGAGGGGTTACCATTTCATTAGTCAGGTAATAAGTACAATTCTTTTTGGCCAATGTCATCCCTTCCTTTACTTTTTCCCAGTCTTCAATACATTTTCTTAAAAATTATTTTATTGTAAAGATGCTGTATAGAGGGATTCGTTACATAAGTAAGGTAGTGCATTGTAGAGCATTATTACCTAGTCCTTTGTTTTTCTCTTACTATCCCCCTACACCCCCCATTCCCCACCAAGCTGTAAAGTTAATTTCTAACATAGTGTCTTGTGAGTATCACTGTTGCAATGGGTCATCCTGTGTTCTTGTTTCAGCATTTTGTTATTCACCTTCCCTCCCCAAATTAGACAAATGTATATATAAGGTACCAAAAACAAATACAGTAATAACAGGGGATATACCATAGAGGGAAGAACATACAAAAGAAAACCACACAGTACATTAAAAACAACAACAAAGAAAAACTGATTGTGTCCACAGTACATTCTTTTTTTTTTTCTTTTGGCAGTCGTGGGGCTTGAACTCTGGGCTTGGGTGCTGTCCCTGTGCTCTTCAGCTGAAGGTGAGCTCTCTACCACTTGAGCCACAGCACCACTTCCAGTTTTCTAGTGGTTTATTGGAGATAAGAGTCTCACAGACTTTCCTGCCTGGGCTGGCTTTGAACCTCGATCCTCAGATCTCAGCCTCCTGAGTAGCTAGGATTACAGGCTTGAGCCACCGGTGCCCGACTCCACAGTACATTCTTAAAGGGACAGTAATCTGAAAAGTTAACAATATCCTTCTTAAAAGGTTAAAAATGTGATCTATATAGGACAGATTCTTAAATAATTCAACATGAGTAAGATTAGTTGAACAAAAAAGATGATTCTATTAAGTCCCATAAACAAAAATGACCCTAGAAATCCTTTTATTTTATAGATGATAAAAGTTGACATTTGGAGAGGTTAAGAAAATGTTTACCCAGCTACCTACACATAAATGGGAAGTACAAGCATGCTAGAATCTACAATCCCACCTCTCATCAATTTAGTATCTCAGATTAAATCAAATCACTCTTTAGAGACTACTAACTTGTAAATACACATTTTCTTGTTTATGAAAGGTATCTAAACTAGATACTCTCTTAGATATGTTTTAGAACTTTTGTCTGCCAGCAGACAAAAATCAACAACTTGTCAATCATCTGAAAGACATGAGTACTTGATTCTACTTCAATCAATCAGAGCCAAGGGCATTCACTTGACCTGAAGGTATCCAGAGAATGTTTAAGAGACAGAGTGCTGCAAGGAGGCACTTAAAAACATTTCTTTCTCAGCCAATTACCCTGAGAGCACACAATAAAAAGTAAATTAGTTGAGTGGATCTTTCAGTAACTATTGAAGCTGTTTAGAAATTTGAGGCAAAACCTCTTTTCAAAGTTTATTCTCTTGTTTATTCATACTAAAGAACAGCAAGTGCAAAACCCAACCAACAGAGATGATGTTCAGTAAAAAGAATTTTTATAGTAAGCAATTAAGTTGCAAAAGCTGAAAACTAATGCCTTATTTTGGTGTAAGGATGAATAGGAATCCAAATTTTGTTTTTAATTTTTCTCAAAATAATTACAAAACTCAGTCAGTAAATAAAAATCTATGAAATCCTTTACTTTCCTCCCTCCTTTGACTTCTAAAATACAGTGCAACTTTCTGCCATCTGCTATTTTAAAGCAGAAACGGTAATGAACATATGGGCTTTCTCTATCAAGCAGCTGTAGTGTATTTAAAGTTATAATAATTGTCTTTCTGTAAGATAAATTTACATTAAAAACCTGGCCAGTTAAAAACAAATGCCTCAGTCTCAGAGCCTTCCAGAATGAAACAAAAAAAAATTAGAATAATCTATGACATATTACATTCAGAGATGTAGAGGAAATCCTTTAAATCTTATGCTTTTATGTATAAAATTAGATAGATAAATGCATGATGCCCCAAGCAGTTATTCCACCCAAAATCCCAAAACTCATGTTTTCTTTGTTGATCAAATGGTAGGAGCATCAGATTGGTTTAGGTACTTACCTATTACAGCCAGTAACTGAGTACTTGAAAGTAGAAAAATCTACTTCCGTGAGTCCTTGAACTCCAAACTATTTATGAGGAAGATTTCAAGCCATGTGACACATAAACATCTATATCTACTACCATTTATGATGAGTTTAAGTAAATTGAAAGGAATTCACAGCATATGTCTACTAACCTTTATCTGGGTGATTCAAAATCATGATTCTCCTGTGAGCTGCTCTAATCTTAGCCTTGTCAGCAGATGGGCTGTAAAAAGAAATTAATAGGGCTGAGAATGTGGCTTAGTGGTAGAGTGCTTGCCTTGCATGCCTGAAACCCTGGGTTTGATTCCTCGGTACCACATAAACAGAAAAAGCAGGAAGTGGTGTTATGGCTCAAGTGGTAGAGCACTATCCTTGAGCCAAAGAAGCTCAGGGACAATGCCCAGGCCCTGAGTTCAAAGCCCCACGACTAGCAAAAAACTTTTTAAAAAATTTAAAAAAAGAAATTAATAAACAGTGCCAAATACAGATTATAAATTAATGATTTATATGGGCTTTAAGAAATTAAAAACTAATGAGAATTTCACCATCTTGTGGACAAATATAAAATTACAGCTTTTCATTAATTCCACTATCAAAATAAACATTATTAAATGCTGTATTATATGTGTGTGTGTGTGTGTGTGTGTGTGTGTTTCAGTCTTTGTAATATCAGCCCCAATTCTCAGTTAAAAAAATAAAACACAGGATCTGGGTGTTAGTCACATATGCTTGTTGTAATCCTACTTTAGGAGGCTGAAATCTGAGGACTGCAGTTCAAATTTAGCACAGGTAAAAGAAGTCCACAAGACTCTTATCTCCAATTCATCAACAAAAAGCCAGAATTGGCAATGTGGCTCAAGTGGTAGAGTACCAGCCATGATGAAAAAGCCAAAGGAGAGTGTAAAGCCATGCTGAGTTCAAACCCGTGGTACAGGCACCATAATAAAATAATAAAATGAACATATACTTACAGGCTGTAAGTTTGAAAGCTTACACTTGTAAGTTATTTTGAAAGAAGAAAACTTATGTTGTGTAGCATATAAGCATCTGGATTCCAGAGCTAGACTGCTGGATTTTATTTTTAAATATATTGTTATTGTAGAGGTGATATTCAGAGGAGTTATAGTTACATGAGTCAGGTAGTGAATGAGTACAATTCTTTTGAAACTATGCCTCCCTTCCCTTGCCTTCTTCTAGTTTTTCCCTCCAGTCCCCACCCACAAGTCATATAGTTCATTTTCCACAGTGTCTAGTGAGTACCCCTGTTTTGTTTACTCTTTGTTCTACCATTTCTGTGTTCCCCTTTACCCTCCCAAAGACTAACAGACAAAAGGAAAAAACAGCAACAAAAAATCCTCTACTTTTACCATAACCAAGATATGAAATCAACCAGATGCCCCTCAGTGGACTAATGCATTTTAAATCCCAGTATTGCTATCTGGTATTAGATAACCTTGGTCAAATCTTTTACCTCTTTGTGTTCAGTTTCGTCATTATGAAATAGGCTAGTAACAATATTCCTCATGCAATGAGGAATGAGAAATGAATGAATGCCTGCAAAGTGTTAGCATGGTGCCTGGCATGACATAACAGCTCACTTTTATTGCCTCTCAACAGGGGATCTCAAAATTCTTTAGATCTCACAGTTTATTTAGCTTTGTGAGAAACCTGTGGGGAAAATGTTGGCTGTTACACTGTAAACAAAAATTAACAGAGAAAGTAAAATAAACCTAAAATTATTAAGGAAAACCTACTTTCTCCAAGATTGGAAACATTTCTCATTAGTACATTTTCTGACTATGTAAAAAAAAAAATCAGAACAAAACCCTTTTATTGCTCCTACGCTACTAACCTTTCCTGGGTCTCAAGTATGGATAACAATAGCTGACTTAAAGTATAGTAGTCAGTGTGAAGCTCAACATAATACAATTTGCATGGACAAACCACACTGTTACTACTAAATGTAGCATGCACATTTACTTGTTGAGATACAGGTTCAAATCTTAATTCTTCAGCTATACAACTTGTTTTTGCTATTTCGACATTGATATATCTTGATCTCAAATGTAACATTTACATAATAAAGCTTATTTCCCAGGATCATTTTAAAGAATTAGATAATATAGCTAAATATATTAGTGTGATCTGGCATATAACTAGAGCTAGTAATAGTTGTGTTATGGATAAAATGAATACTTATGAAAACCTTGTATGTCCTATGTTTAGGGACTGGGTGTAAGAAACTTAGTTAACATTTCATAAGTGACTCAGAAGCAATGTCACAACTATCATTTCAATGTAAAGACACTCAAAGTCTACTTGCCCTTGTAGCCTAGAATGCTATGTTTAAGACCTTCTGTCTTTTTGTATAGAACCTCCCGGCTTCTGTAAATTGTCAGTTCTTGATTTTGGTAGCGTTTTAGTCTCTAGCTGTTTTTTTGCTAGTTACTTGCCACCTCAAGTTTCTAATATAAATAACAGATTACCAAGAGTGTTACAATGAAGCAGAAAAGGACTGGCAGAGTGATGCTTGATTGGAATCCCAGCATTCAGGAGAGTAAAACTATAAGAACTGTATTTCAAGGCCAATTTATTTTGTTGTAGCAAGAATCTTCCAAAAGAAGAATTTGAAAAAGAGCAGCATTCAAAAAAATTGGGCGGGGATTATTAATTATGCACTATTTGGTGCATATTAATTGTACATTGTAGGGTTTCAGTATATATGCATATAGTAGAATTTATCATGTTCACTTCCTATTACTTTCATATCTATCCAAAAATGTACTATTAATAGATAAGCACATAAAATACTCCATGAATAAACTGAACAAGTCTTCAGACACACTTTAAAATATTTCTTTTGGCCATTTGTTGATGTCTTGTGGGGGCCATTTCAAGCTTTCTTTTTGGCATGAAGGAGCCGCCAGATAGACACTTATTACAGATGACTGAATTTTGATAAACTATTAGACATTGTGCAATGACTATGAATGATATTTCTTAAGAATGAAAAACATTAATTTGAAATTTTCTAGTATAATTTAGTTGACAATTGTCATAAAGACAATTGTCTTTATGGTGCTCTCTAGCACTTTCTTTTACAAATTATGTGTTCTAGTTGCTGTACATATTTGATGTATTTCCTTAGAGAGCAGAAACTACAAATTGTATCTTAAAATAGTACCTAGGATTGTATATGTAATGGACGTTTAATGTATTTTCTAATATACTCCAAAAGGAAGTTAACTGTAAAAAGATAAATTTCTTGCCAATTTCTTGTAATCCTAGTTACTCAGGAGTCTGAGATCTGAGGATCCTGGTTTGAAGCGAGCCTGGGTGGAAAAGTCCCTGTGAGACTCTGTATCTCCAATTAACCACTCAAAAACCAGAAGTGGTGGTACACTCAAAGTGGTACAGTGTTAACAGTGCTCAGGCCCTGAGTTCAAGCCCCACAACTGACAAAAAAAGGATAAATTTCTTGAAAGGATATAGGCACTATCTGACTAAGTAAAAACTAACATCAAGCAAGTCTAATATGTTATAAAAAATTATGAAGTTAAAAAAGGGAGAGAGTGTTAAAAACCATATTTTATAAAAGCTCATCACTAGATGATGGAGATATAAATTCAGGAAAATACAAATTTCCTTGGTGTACTTTTTTGAGGATATTTAGAATATTGCTCTTATCTGGATATTATGTTTTAATTGTGCACATAAAAGAAAATCTGAAAATCACTTCAGTTAAAATCCTTGAAAATCAATTACATTGTCTATAAAAGAAAAGCAATAACATAGTTTATTACATAAAACTCCACAAAGTATTAGGTACACTGAAGTCTGCCAACCACCAAACAAGATTATAAAGTTATAAACAAACAAACATCAGGAAGGAAGTTGTTGCAAAAGTATTTTAGTTCTAAACATTCTGCATTTACCACAAGTACAGACTCCTAGTTTTGAGGAAAAAGGGAAAAAGAGTTTATTACCACTTTGTAACTAACTGCTATATTTATAAGTTTCTAAAGTCTTACTACTTTTTAATGCATTTGTTTGCTGCTGTGAAGTTTAAAGATGAGAGAGGTCAAGCATTTAAACTTAGTGTAAGAATTAAATGTATCTGCAATTTATGTCCAATATACAATTCTACCATCAAGTTGAAAAAGTAACTTTAGAGGTCATGTTACCTAATGAGAGATTTCAAACTGTGAAACTGTGATCCCCTGAATACATCTAGCTGGCAACTAGGGAGTGGAATGTGGGGGGCTGAGTTGCACACCCTAACCCCATGGATAATGGAGCCATTTAGGGGTTTTGAGTGTGTTTCAAACATTTTATAAACCATTGGGATTTGAAAAATGCTTGGTTTAGAGGAAGTAGCATGGGCAATTTTTTTAAGAGTGTAAACAAAGCTCAACTCCATTTTGCCTTCCCCTACTTGTTACAGTCTACAAAGTTTATGGTCAGTGATCACAGAAAATAAAACCGTAGCAACTTATTCACATCTTGAAGTACCTTGACATAATCAACACCACATGATCAGAAAAAAAGACTAGAGGAAAGCAGGTAAATTTAATATGCTAAGGGAAAACATTTAGTTTTGCATTCATGGTAGAGATAGGAAGAGAAAGACCTATTTTTTTTCAATTTGTTTTTATTGTGAAGGTGACGTACAGGGGAGTTAGTTATATAGGTCAGGTAATGAGTACATTTCTTTTTGAACAGTGTCACCTCTTCCCTCCTTTTCTCCTAATTTTTTCCCTCTCGAGACCCCTCCCTCCAAATTGTATAGCTCATTTTCAACATATTATCTTCTTGAACCCCCTGAACCACCTCCCTCCAAATTATATAGTTCATTTTCAACATACTAGCTAGTATGAGTATCATTGCCCTAACCCTCCCCCAAATAGATAAACTTACATACAAGACAAAAAGTACAGAAATCAGTAACAGTGACAAAAGGGAAAAACAAAAAATAAAACAAAAAGCACAAAAAGTAAAATTTTAAAAATCTACTGTTTTCCATTTCTTGGAGTTCATTTTGATAAACATTATTTTATATGATCATACGCAAATAGCTATTGAGCCTCTGTGATCCTCTCCTAAGACTATCCTCTTTTGATCTCACTGTCTGAATGTTTAGAGTCCCCTTTAATTTGTCATATCCAAGTGTAATTTTTGTCTTTTACCATTCATTGTGTTTACTTGTAGACTTATAGGCAGTCTATTTACTACAAATAAGGGAAAGCCTGAATCATGTGTTTCTTTGGGTCTGGCTTACTTCACTTAATACTATTTTTACCAAGTATGGTAGACACTTATAAAAAGATATCATTATAGGCTGGGAAGGTGGCTCAGTGGTAGAGTGCTTGCCTTGCATGCATGAGGCCCTGGGTTCAATTCCTCAGTACCACTTAAGCAGAAAAAGCCAGAAGTAGCACTGTGGCTCAAGTGGTAGAGCACTAGCCTTGAGCTGAAGAGCTCAGGGACAGCACCCAGGCCCAGAGTTCAGGCCCCACAACAACAATAACAACAAAAAGACTGATGAATATATTTTTAAAAAAGATATCATTATATCATTCTTTTATATTTTTATCTGTTTATTTTTTTAACTAAGGACCTTGTGCTTGGTTGGCTGGCACTCTACTATCTGAGCCATGCCTCCACCCTAGCTTTTCTTGACTAGTTTATTTTGAAGATGGAGTCTCATGAACTTTTTTGACCCAGCTGGCTTCAAACCACAATCCTCTATACTTCAGCCTCCTGTCTAGTATTATAGGCATAAACTTGTACCTGGCTCAATGTATCATTCTTTTAGCCTTTTAACAAAACAAAATGTTAATTCAAATTCAAAAAATGAATAAAATGAAGTGCAGAAAAGTTACAATTAACTTGACTGATATCCATTGAAATGGATGGTTTTAAGTAGTGATTCTAAATAGCAGAATCTAGGTAAAGACTTATTTTATTAAATTGATATTTACTGAGTATTTACTAAGTGCCATGTTGTTGTTCAGTGTTTTATATGTATGTGTAATCTTCAGAACAACTTTAGGAGTAACTAATATTATCTCCCACTTAGAAAAAGTGATACAGAGATCATGAATTTAGTAGTGGTATCAACGTTATTTTTCCCAGACACAAGAACCCTTTCCCTCTCTCTTTGTTTAAAGTCAATAAATTTTTATTTAATCATTTTCATATGTTGTGATTCCTTCTCTGTTCATCAGAATGAAGTTCAAGATTTCTCTTGAAATCTAAGACAGTCCCTTTTGAAAGAAACAACTCAAACCACACCATTGCTCTGAGGATTGATTGCTATGTCCAATTGACCAAGAAAAAAAAAAAAACAACTCCAGTGGGAAAGCACCAGGCCTGGAGTTTAATCTCTAGTACCAGCACACACAAAGACAGAACTGATCAGCTCTGCCACAAATATTTTATCAGGGCTTCTTTTATCACTATTGGAAATACTGATAGAAATACTGATGACAACTTCAAAGTCCCACAGCTAAAACCTTTTAAATGTCATTCCTCAAGCAAATTATCTGTGGGATCTTAGAAAGATGAATTATAGAAAGCTCTGAAATGAATAAAATCTAGACTTTTGTTCCTTACTAATAATACTGATTGAATACATTTCTTTTGTTGTATCTTTTGACCCATGAGCTTGAGATGTTACAGGTCTCACTGTCACCACTGCAGCACATTTACTGTGCTGAAAGCGCAACCTGTATCTCAGTTTTAGCCTCAGTGACCAATTCTGGACCCTGATCAACAGTGCCCATCCTCATCTGGAATGAGGCTTCCTTTTTCCTTTGTTTTTAGACATAGGAAAAAAAAAACCTCATTTCCATTTCCTAGGGTTCATTTCAATAAATATTATTTTATATGATCAGATGCATATAAACATTGCACTAAACCCTTTCTCTCTCTTTTTTTAAACCTTTTTATTTTTATAAAGGTGATGTACAGAGGGGTTACAGGTACATAATTCAGGTAAAAAGTACATTTCTTTTTGGAAAATGTCACCCCTTCCCTTGGCTCCAGAACCCTTTCCCTTAAGCATCCACTTTTCCTTCTGAATTTTGTGCAGTTTTCAGTTCAATTATATAGAAACTGGATAAGCATTTAAGAAAACTGAAAATATCAACTCCTCTCCTAATTACCTATCCTACCAATAGAAGTGCTTTCAATAATATTAAATGATTATCCTTAAAAGCCTTTATTTCTGGCTTTATAGCATGTTGCATATGCACATGAACGTGAGAGTGGATGGCACATGCCTACAATGTCCAAACTCTAAAAGCAGACAGAAGGATACTGAGTTTGAAGCCAGACGGGGATACACAGCAACTATTGCCCAGTTCATGCTATATAGACAGACTTTGTCTCAAAAAACTAAGGGCTAGAGATGAAGTTCAGAGGTAGAGTGCTTGCCTAGCATGTACAAAGCCCTGGGTTCAATTCTCAGCACTGCAAAGAAAAACTTGAAAGTGTTTCCTAAGGGAATATAAGGGAAACAAATTAATACAGTTGATGTAAATGTATTGTAGGGGAAAACATCCTGAACATTTAGTACTCAATGTTAATCACATAATATCATTAACTTTTTTTCTTATAGTTTCCAAAATTAAAGTACAAATAGATACTGAAGTAGAAAAGTAAAATATACTCAATGTCAAACTGCAGAAGTAGAAAAGAACTGAGATAAAAACTTCATTGTAATTTCATATGATACATATCAAATTATAAAACTGGTCAAGAGGGAATTCAGTATTAAGGTAAGTGATGTGTTAATTGATCAACTTGAAACAAATAGCATCTTGTTAAAGAACATGATAACTTTCACTGATTTAAGTCTGCAGGTTCAAAATGTAAAAATCTGGTGCCTTCTCTGAATTCTACTTGTAATTTTAAACATAAGTACAATCTATTATAAAGTTTATTTTTCCCTTTTTAAAACAAGCTTGGTCACAAACGAAAATACTTATGTAGCACACCTACCTTACACCTAAAATAAGACTAGCTTCTCGTCTACTCATTTTCTGTTCAAATCCTCCTCTATAGTAGGATGAAATGCTCTGCACAAGAAAGAAAGGGCAAGAAATAATTAGTTCCATGCATGAGGTGGCATGACCTCAATCCCATTACATAGCTGTAGTAATACATTTTACTAGAAATCTTGAAACTGTAGGAAGAAAAGTACTAAACGATTATTTTGAAGAAACCAACAAAAATGAATATTTTAAAAGTTAAGGTATTTTTTCACTTTAAAATGCATTAACTTTTCTATACTGAGATATAATTGAAGGAACAAAAATCAGTAGAAGCAAAATGCTCCAATGTTTTCTAAGCTCTACAGTATTTTTCTCATTAGATAACTTAGACCAAGCCATTTATGTTGTTATGACAATAATCATTGTGCCTACTAGAATGGCCAGCAGAGAAAAAGGGGGATTGTGTTATGAGATAGTGGTGAGGCAAGCCAAGAAACTCAGGAAACGGGACTGGTGTTATGAGCAAGTAAGCAACTATATTTGTTTTTCTCACCCCAATAAGAAGGTGTAAGTGAAAGGATCCTTTAAGCTTGATAGTACTGGATTAAAGAGGTAAAAATTGCAGACTATTTTTCTGACAGTACTGTTTTGGGCCATAGTAAATATTTCCATTTGTGAAAGTGAGATTATTTTAAGAAACAAACTATATCACCAAACAAGTGATATAGATGGCTATATTTTCCAATAGCTTTTCCCAAGAAGAAAAGCACTGGAATTTTGCTAGTTTTATGATGCAGTCTGAATGCAACCATACTCGAGACATTACAAATTATTATTCTGTATTATTCCATTTATGAAGCATACATAACCAAAAGAAATACAATTCATTTCTTTCTAAAAATTAACACTAAAAGAGAAGTGCTATATTTTATTCGAAGGAGAATAAACAACTCAATTAACAACTCAAGTTAACCAACCTTCATCAGCTAATTCAGTGGCTGAAACACAAAAGTCTTCCAGACAAACATACAAGAACCACATCACTGCATATCTGAGATGTTTATAATAAACTATACTATAAAAACCATACTATTATTTATAATCATCTATTTGAATTAAAGGGCAACAGAAGGATGACTGGAGTCATTGTATTTCCTGATTTCAACTTGATCATAAAAAAAATCTCATTTTTAAAAATTACATTCAAGTATTGGGACAAATTCAAAGTTGAAACTTAAAAGCTTAAACTATGCAGTTCTGTATATGTAAACTTATGACAATCCTGTAAATAGGCAATTTTTAAAGCATAGTAGATAACGTTACAATTTTATTTGACATTTGTTATTGTATGATTGCAATTTCTACTTTCTCAAACATATGTTACTTTAATAGTTTAAAACACTAACAAGGAAAATAATGTGAGGAAAGTTTCCAGAGATACTCTGTCATTTTTGTTACTTAGAAAAATACTGGTACATTAAATCTCATTAAACCTTGCTTCCCATGAGTATTTATAAATGTCCAACAATGGTTAAAAATAAAACTAGATTTTTAGTGATTACTATAAAGATTTTTGGTGGTTCAGAAAAATCCTGATTTAAACCAGGAAAAACAAATTGAAGACCTTAAAAATAAATGGCTTTAAATTCCCCCACCAAAAATTAGAAATAATTATACGTAAGTGGAAAACAATTATATTAATATATTGAAAACCAAAAGAAAGATCACTAATTAAAATACAAGAATGAATTATAAAAGTCCTCTGCTTTCTAAAAGTCATCTTTTGAAATTGTGAAATTCCAAGTCATCTTTTGAAATTGTAAAATACTTTCAATAAGCAAAGCCATTATGGTTTAAAAAGCAAAAACTGATCACTATACCACAATACCGTGAAATTTGTAAAATTCATGTAATCACTCAATCTCAATAAAAACTATTTAAAAAATAAAAATAAAAAGCAAGAAATGAGAGCACGTACCTATAACCACAGCACTCAGAAAGCTTAAGTAAGAGGATTTCAAGTTTGAAGGAAGACTGGGTTATATATGAAGTTCAAGCCTTTGATTACATAGTGAGATATTGTCTCAAAAAAAAAAAAAAAAAAAAAGGAGGAGGCAAGTAGCAAACCAGGAAATTCAAATAAATCACAGAAGACTGAAAAACTGGTAAGACAGGCAAGAAAAATCACAGCAATCCCAAACAACAGGAAAGAAGAAACTCATCTCAAGAATTCAAGAAGAAAATGCAAATTCAAAGTCTAAAAATGTCACAAAAAACGGTATTACATTCGTTTATTAATAAACAAAATCAGAAGTGACAGGCTAAATCTACTAAATACGCAAGGTTCTGGCACCCATCACTTTCCCCCTTAGGCTCAAAAAGAGAACTGTGTGAATGGGAGATCTCAAAAGGAGCAAAGGAGAGTATCAACAAATCCCAGTGCAGAACCCAGGTCAGGCAGGGAGCCATCCATGTCAAGGAGAAAAACATACATCATGTTCAACCTCTTCTAGAACCTGAAGTTCCTAAGCCTACGTCTGCTTTGCTTACTTTTGAAGGACATAAGGCACTGTTTGGATTTATAAAAAACAAGATTACTATTACAATGTTAAATAATACAGTTGTTTCATATAGCTTGAGAGGTTTGTATTTATAGTGTATATGAGTCTATGACAAACCCACCTATGTTCCCAGCCCACTGTCAACCCTCTTCAATTAAACTGCAGAAATAATCCTGCCAAATGGCTGAAGAAAACCAGGAATATTACTGATATTACTCACTTTAATACTCACACGTCTCAAACTAACAACTAAGATCACCAGATATTTTACACAAACCTAGGATGAATGGAGGGAAAAGTAAAAGAATCAGAATGAATAGATGAAAATTAGCTTTGGAAGGAGAAAAACTAGTAAACAGAAGAGAATTTGGCTATATTCTAATTAGTGTCCTTAGAGATATTAAAAAAATATCACAGCCATTAAAATGAGTTGTTAAATAAAAGAAGGAAAAATTCTTATCAATTTAAAAAATTACTCTAGTATAAAATTCAGGTGAACTGAATAGTGAAACAGCCATTACTAAAAGCCATCCAAATGTTATGGAAAATAAGCTGTGGAAAGAATCGTAGAATGTACAGCAAAAAAGATGGAGCAATAGGAAATAAGAGAAAACATTAAGAGACATAAAGGAGAGACCCAGATGTCATAAACCTTTCTAGTAACAGAGAAGGGAATTAATGAAGCTAAGAAATAAAGAATTTTTGAGATTTCAGAACATCAATTATAAAGAGAAAAATCCTAAAAACTTTCAGAGCTAAAAAACAAATACTGCAAAAAACCTGAAACTCCATGTAAACAACAAAAGAATACCGAAACCACAGATTGTCTTTAATGCAATAAGAAGGATAGCAAAAATCTCTCTGAGTGGGCAGCAAACAGATGCTAAGCACTGAGATGTAGTCTCAGCACACAGCTCTGTATATCTTCTTCTCAATTCATTTCAGAAAACTAGTAATGAAAATTAACAAAAGAAAACAAAACATCCAACAGAAAAGAAATTTAAAACATTTATCAAACCACAGGAACAAATTACCCTTGGCGGTACTCAAAAAATGAAAAATAAAATTGTGTGAAAGGGAAAGATAAGATTCAACAAGAAGATGATAAAGCTTAGAAGAAGCAAATAAAGTGTAAATAATAATGAAATAAAACTCACTGAAAATTGAGATTTCATCATTCTCTTGTGAATGAGAAATTTAGTGATACATGATTATAATTCCTATTATTTAAGTAGCCCTATTTAGTTCAGAAATTAAGCTACAGAATCAAGGCACTGTAAATGAGGTTTTTGAGGTTAAATTTTTGGGATTCATTAGCATGGAAAGAAAATATACACATTTATTTCTCAGTTTCTTTGGAGAATTGTTTTAAAAACTTTTATCTTTACTAAAGTATTCCTATAGTGATGATAATGATGATGATGGTGATGGTGATGATGATGATGATGATGATGATGATGATGATGATGATGATAAGAGTAAGAAAATATTCTAAGATGCTCCATTGCAAATTGTAAGAGTAGTACATTGTAGGGGAGAGGAAAAGCAGAGAGGACAGAATCTATGTTTTTTACCTTGAAGCCCCCAAAAGGAAGGAGAGATGGTATATCATTTTCCTCTCCTTAAGATAGGCAGGTACAGGCTCAGTGAGCCTTATCTGTAAGCCTGCACTAAGCAGTGAAAACATTCTCATTTTCATGTTTTCTTTCTTTACAATGTTTAATAATACAGTTGTTCCATGAATCTTAGGAGTTTTTACTTTTAGTATACATATATTTACTAAATACACCATAATGTAAGAAAGGTAATTTCCAAAATTCCATTTATTACTAATAAACAACATTATTTTAAAGAATGATGCCACTATTTCCATTACTGTTACTGTTTTGTACACAATCATTTATCACTAATCCTTCTGAACTCCTATTCTGTCTCATTCTAGACTATACTCTAAGAAGCTGGGAGAAAGATAACTTAAAATGTGCTCACATTGCCCCTGGCTCAAAATATTCCAAAGGCATTGTATCATGGTCTATTAGACTCTAAGTGTATCGACCTAAGCTAGTATTATCATCTTCATAAACTCCACTGGAGTTACTCTTGCTCTAAGCTCATTCCACCACAGGACCTCTGCAGTTTTGGCCACCCGAAGGGTTCTTTTTGCAAATGCTCACATGTGCTTGCTTCCTGATCTTCTAGAGAGCCCTTGCCTGGTCTAATACAATGACTTCTCTCTGCTGTTATTATTTAACCTCTTGCACTTAACATTTCAGATCTATCTTACGTCACTTGTTTATTTTGTTATTTCCACTAAAACATAAAATATAAAGTCTTGGAGGAAAATGTCTTTGTCTGGTTTGTGAGAATATCTTGCTGCTTACAACATTTGGCATATCGTAGGTAGTCGATGACTATATACTGAATAAATGCTGACAATCAAATACTTTAACCAAGTAAAATTGTAAGTAGAGAAACAGAAAATAAACCAACACTACCTCTCATCACAGACCTGCATACACAGTTTTATAATAAAATCTTTTGCAGTTCTTTTGAACCTGGGTTCAACCTGGGCTGTGACTGATCTTAGCTAGCTAAGCACCACATGCCTGTAATGCCTTTGCTAAAACAAGCCATTCATTCTCAAATTGCTGCAAGGCACATTGATCTATTCCAGATCTGCTTCTATTTCCTAAAAGTCAATGTTTATGCCTCAATACTTCAGTGAATCTTCTTTGCATACTCTTCAGTGGTCTCAGACTACAGTCCATACTGTAACTTCTTAAATACCTACAACCACTCATTCTTCACTTATATTCAGCTCATTGAATTATTTACAATGCTGCTAGATGAATCTATAAGCTGTAAAAGATTTCATGGCTGAAATCTTTAAGTTCTGTGCTTCAGATGGGAATATATCTCAATGTACAAAGGGGACAAGTATGTAATACAAGGGGGCTGAAATAAACTCTTGGGTAAATTCCATCAAGGCAGGAACTGAGTCTGTTTTGTTCACTAACTATTCCCAGATTCTGGACAGAAACTCGTAGATGGTGGGTATCCACTAAATGTTTATTGAATAACTAAGGTCATGAGTGATAATGCACACTTTTAATCCTCATGTAAGAGGATCCCCAAAGTGCTTTTGTGTCTTTAACTAAAAATCATATCTGGGTCCTTTGTTCTGAGCTATTCTCTACTGCAGTCACTAGCAACCAAACACCTTGGACTCCAGGAAAGAGAAGATTCACCAATAAGTGTCTTGTGTGGAAGACAAACTACTCCTCAAACAGTCAGTGTCATTTTAATCACCTTTAAGGAAAAAGCCAGAAACTCAGGAGAGATCTCTCCCACCAGGCAATATTTTCCTGTTCTATCCAGTGGTAAAGTGGTAACTCTCCAAAACTACTCTAAAGACAAAGACTAAACTAATGATAAATATGTTTGTGGGGAAGGGTATCTGGGAAGGGGAGGACAGGAGTCCAGTAAGAAGTACAATCATTATATTCAATGTACTTTATGTAAAAATTGAATTACAAAATTTGAGAGTAGGGATGGAAGGGGCAATGGAGGAGGTGGCATTGATCAAGTTGTATTGTACTTATAACCTGACTTAGGGAATTATAACCTTGTTGTACAACTACTTAATAATAAAATAAAAAAATAAGTTACCTAAGTGTGACATAACTTTATTGACTAGGATAAAAATTAGTTGTCAAAACCAGGAATAATGTTTATATATGACAATACGATCAAGAAAACTTAAATCAATAACTTAGACAAACTCATAAATGATTTAATAAAGGAATTAAAGTTCTATAAAGGTTAGAAAATTCAAGATATTTTCTGACATTTTCCAATATGACATGAATTTTCTAATCATAGACACATTTAACTTACAGGAGATGAAATCTTCGTTGCAGTTTCTGTAATTACTTGTTGTAAAGGTTTCCAGATCTGAAATGCATAACGACCTAAACAATAGAAGGAATAAGTTCAAATAAGGCTTTCTATAACCAATCTCAAAGTGCTTGCCATATTGTTTGTTTGCCATTTCAAATAAATATTTCAAACTTAACCAAGTAGATAGTAAAGTTTACTGAATGAATAGAATTTAATTTTAATGTCATGATCATAAGCAATGAATATATCAAGTTCTAGTTTAAGATCACGTTTGTGATATAATATCTTACACTTACAGAATGTTATAGGTTACAAAAAATAATATCATAATACTTGACCTATAATGATGTATATAGAAAAGGTTCCTTATATATACAAAAAATCCTGATATTAAAATATTAACTATTTTTATAAAAACATTGAAATGTATAGAAAAATATTGTTTATATATATATGCCATAGAAGTGCTTTAATAGTTATCATAATGTGAAAAAAATCAATTATTTGTGAAACATTTGCCATTTATGTGAACTATCACTTTTTGTCACTCTCTAAAAATATTATTTTAGTTTTGTTTTTTAAGGAACACTAATATTTGAAATTCCTTAAGTCTTAACAACTAATAATTTATAGGAAAATTGGTCCTAAAATGTTCTAAGGGCATCAGACAAGGATAAAGTCCCAGCTAGCAAATTTGTCCTTTCCACTCTAATCAAAATGTGTGCCTGCTAAAAACCTGTGTCTGATACTATGTACTTCAATTCAAATTCTAACCATAAATCAAGAGTGCCACTAAGAAAGCTCAATTACTTACATCTTTGTGAAGACCTTACTTATTGATTCTACAATAGTAAAAAGAATATATATATATATGTATATATATGTAGAGAGAGAGAGAGAGAGAGAAAATTACCTAAAAATTCTTCATAACTATAATCAGGCACAGCAACTGGATTCCTATTTCAGTGTTAGTAGATAAAGACTTCAAGAAATGGTATCCGGTGTTTATATTTAACCATAGGCAAAAAGATCTAGTTATAACAAACAGTAGTATTTTTCCCTCCCAAATTCTATTATTCAGTTTTATTTGGCTTAGCAGAGATCTGCTACTCTGATTAGTAACACTGACTTGGCAGTAGCATGGTCTTTTCAGAACATACGTTTCAGAAAAAGACCTAGAAAAAGTATGTTTCTCTCTAATTAAGAAAAAAAACTTATATTTGAATTTATAATTGCTAGACCTATTGTACTATGAAAATTAATAACCAGCCAGGTGCCAGTGGCTCATGCCTGTAATCCTAGCTACCCAGGAAGCTGTGATCTGATTGTAGTAGTTCAAAGCCAGCCCAGGCAAGAAAAGTCCTTGAGACTCTTATCTCCAATAAACCACCAGAAAACTGGAAGTAGCACTGTGGCTCAAGTGGTAGAGTGCTTGCCTAGAGCTGAAGAGCCAAGGGACAGCACTCAGGCCCAGAGTTCAAATTAATAACCAAAAACTATTTTATGTTCATGAACAAGTCTGTGAGAATTCTTTTTGAGATATGATTTTCTTTACAGGGACCTCCAGAATTAGTTAAATATAGTAGTATAATTGTCACTAGGTCCTTTTGGCCAAAAGAACAAGAGGATCTGAGCCTCAAGTTTTATTTTAAAGCTCTTCTTGTTAAAGTATTTTCAATGAGAACTATGTGAAATTAAAACCATGTAAAACAAAATAAAACTGTCATTTTTCTGTTAGAACTTAAATTTTAAAAAACACAATGGAATGAAGTTTTATCTAAAAATATCCAATTACCAAGATAAAATCCAGATTTTAGAAACAAACAAAAATCAACAAAAATTCTCAAATTAACATTTAACTAAGAAAACTAGGACTCAGATATTTTACTTCTAATATTTATGACTTTTTTTTTTTTGATCAGTTGTAGGGTTTGAACTGTGGGCCTGAGTGCTGTCCCTCAGCTCTTCAGCTCAAGGCTGGTGTTCTACCACTTGAGCCATAGCACCACTTCCGGTTTTCTGGTGGTTTATTGGAAATCAGAGTATCACAGACTTCCTGCCCAGGCTGGCTTTGAACCAAGATTCTCAGATCTCAGCGCCTGGCAATGACATTGTTTTTGAGACAATTTTAGTAGTGAAAAAAATTCTCCTGGATTTATTGAAGAATTATACCAATATGTTAAAAACTAAAATAACAAATTAGAGAATAACTGTGTTTCTTAGGAAGAACTGACAGCTTAAAAATGTGTAAACTCATCTGCAAGAAAAAAGAAAAGAGAGCATAAAGGAAGCTCCTATTACTTGGATTTCATATTCAAGATTCCTTACTATTATACATTGTAAATCAATCTTATAAAAATGCTCAAAATATCTACTATTATTACATCTTGTTTTCTTAGGTCATGGCCATTAATTTTATTTACTAAAGTTTATCCAAATTTTGTTCCACTGACTTGTTCAGTAATTATAAATAGCATAAAGAATAAGAATATATATAATGCCTGAAAACCCTTAGAAGATAAAGGGCCTACTCATGAATCACTATATCAGCTATTTGGAAATTTTTCTCCTATAACATGTATTGATATTTATTCTTTATTAGCCTTACCTGCAAATGCAAGAGTTGCAACACCCAGTCCTACAGCTATCACTCTTCTTGCCTGGAGTGGAAAGAAAAAAATATTACTTAGAGCATTAAATGTTATGGTTTGATACTAAATTTTTGTTGTTGTTGTTCAGCACTGGGAATTGAATTCAGGACCAAGGGTTCTACCACTTGAGCCATGACCCCAGACCTTTTATTTTGTATTTTAGATAGGGTCTCCTGTAAACTTTTCCAGGCATAGCTTCAAATAGTAATTCTCCCACCCCTGGAAGATGTGGTCTCAAGTGGCTGAGAGCACAGATGAAATCTATCAGACCTGGTCCTTACAAGTAAAAATTTTGTAATAATGAGGATAATTACACTAAATCTACATATTTTTCAAACTCTGTTGTGAAGAACAGAACTTAAAATCTTCAGTGTGTATGGATTATATCTCTCCTGTTCACTTTTTTCAGCTAAATTTCAATGAACTAAAATAATTCTGGATTTTCAATTAATTTCCATATGCTGGAATTCATTTTAATATTACCTATTGGTAAAATGTTTTCTGTAGACTATTCTCAATAGTGGGCTTAATATATTTATCTTCTATAAAGATAAAAGGGACATATTTTGGCAGTCCTGTGGACTGAACTCAAACCCTTATGCTTCTAGGCAAACACTCTACAACTTGAGCCTCTTCCTTAGTTCAGTCTTTGCTGCACTTGTAATTTTAAATTTTAATGAAATATTAGCTACAACTTTAGGAAAGAAGTCAAACTTGGTAAATAAAGAAAAATGATCATTTAAAAGTTAACTTTCAGGCTGGGAATGTGGCTTAGTGGCAAAGTGCTCACCTAGCATGCATGATTTGATTACTCAGTACCACATACACAGAAAAAGCTGGAAGTGGCGCTGTGGCTCTAGTGGTAGAGTGCTGGTCTTGAGCAAGAGAAGCTAATGGACAGTGCCCAGGCCCTGAGTTCAAGCTACAGGACTAGCAAAAATAAAAATAAAATAAAAGTTAGCTTTCTATCCTTTTAGACCAGGTTAAACATTTTTTTTTTTTTTTGGGGTCCGGTCGTGGGGCCTGAACTCTGGGCCTGGGCGCTGTCCCTCAGCTCTTCAGCTCAAGGCTAGCACTCTACCACTTGAGCCACAGCGCCACTTCCGGCTTTTTTTCTTTTTGCTTATGTGGTGCTGAGGAATCGAACCCAGGGCCTCATGCTTGCAAGGCAAGTGCTCTGCCACTGAGCTATCTTCCCAGCCCTAAACATTTTTTTAATAAAAGCAAAGGATTAGAATATTCCCAACCTAAAGTTATAAGCTAATTCTAATAAAAATCTATTTAAAATTCAGGCTAGATACATAGCTCAGTAGTAGATCACTTGTTTAACATACAGAAGGTCCAAGGTTTAATTTTTTAGTAGGTTATATTCATACTGCTCTAATTTATTCTCTGTAAACATCTCAGGAAATATATTTTAATGAGGGAGAAAGTTTTTTTTTTTTTTTGGGGGGGGGGGGGGTCCGGTCGTGGGGCCCTGAACTCTGGGCCTGGGCACTGTCCCTCCGCTCTTCAGCTCAAGGCTAGTGTTCTACCACTTGAGCCACAGTGCCACTTCCGGCTTTTTCTTTTTGCTAATGTGGTGCTGAGGAATCGAACCCAGGGCCTCAGGCATGCAAGGCAAGCACTCTACTACTGAGCCACCTTCCCAGCCCCGAGGGAGAAAGTTTTATAGTAGAGCTCTGTTGTTCTCTCAGCATCCATTCTCCTTTTCTTTGTCTGACAGTGTCAGGATTTCCATTTTTAGCCAAATATATATCCAAGCCTCCTTTACATTATTGTTATTAGGTATGTTAACTAAGTGAGGGCCTATAGAACGTACACAGAATGAGGTGTGAAACTCATTCAAGTCCCTAGGAAGGGTAATGGGATGGGAAAGTCCTTTTCCATTTTCCTTTCCAGCTGTCTGGAAGTACTCATTACAACTGGATTGGCCTTTTGAACAAAGGCGACAGAACAGTAAGATAACAAGAGACTGTTTTTCCCAGTCCTGCAGCTGCTAGCCCAGACTACCTCTAGTTACAAAGATCAAGATGAAAGTTATTTACCTTCCTGGGCTGCTATTTGTTTGGGCAATTGTGGCCCAAACAAATTTTTTTTTAATTTTAATTTTTATTTTTTGTGAACATACTGTACAGAGGGGTTACAATTACATGGGCAAGATAATGAGTACATTTCTTATCAAGCATTGCAGCCTCCTCCTTTGTTTACCCTTCACATCCCTTCCCAGCCTTCCCCTGCCCCCCCACCTAATCCTCCCCCCCCACACAAATTTTAATAGATACAGACATAGAATCACAGAAATGTTTTTTGTCTGATCTGTAAGAAAATCCTTAAGATTCTGCAGAAGATTCTTCAAAAAACTACAATAAGATGGATGCCAGTGGCTCAAGCCTGTAATCCTAGCTACTTAGGAGGCTGAGATCTGAGGATCACGGTTCAAAGCCAGCCCGGGCAGGAAAGTCTGTGAGACTCTTATCTCCAATAAACCACTAGAACACCAGAAGTGGCTCTGTGGCTCAAGCAGTAGAGCACTTGTCTTGAGCTGAAGAGCTGAGGGATAGCGCCCAGGCTGAGTTCAAGCCCCACCACCAACCAAAACAAACAAACAAACAAACAAAAAAACTACAATAATCTCACTAGAGAATAGAATATATATTTCACATTGGTGCAGACATTGTTGAAAAGGAGACTGAAGCTCAAGAATATTAAAACTATAAAGCCCTTCAGTTCACAGTGTTCATGTTCTATAAGGAAAGATGCACTGAGTGTTGGTAAATCAAGGCCCCAATCATCCAGGGATATTCTACAATGAGCAACATCAGGTCAGAAAAGGGCAGCTGCACAAAGGTGCTCTGACATTGAAGTCCAGTAACTCTCCCAGAAATCAAGAGCTCAACACAGCTGATGAATCAATTTCCTCTAGGCAACTCCTTCTTAGGGAGACAAGGTATATCCACCAGGCCATGACACTAGGACAAAAGCTTCAAGTTTCTCTTCTGATATTCCCTATTTGTTTCCTCAAATCCACTCTCTACACTTCTCTGCTTAGTTTTGTATTTCTGTTTTCCCTTATTGCTAAAGACTACATTATCCAGTATGAACATGACCACTGGTTTCTGGTAGGGTTTCACCAACAGGAAAAAGCATGGTAGAACAAAAGGTAGGAGAGTGAAATAATTGTGCAATTTGGTCCCCTGTTTCTTCCCTGCCTTATTTCTGCTCTAGCTTTTCTATTGTATGTCTTCTCTGTGTTTACAATTCTCAGAGTTCTGGAACACAATTTGTAGCTTTGCTGCTTCACCTGAGTAAACAGCAGTTCCCAAATCTTGCTGATGATTTATTTTCTCTTTTCTTTTCTTTCTTTTTCTTCCCTTTTCTCTTTCTTTCCTTTTCTCTTTTCTTTCCTTATTTCTTTCTTCTCTTTTCTCCTTCATTTTTCTTTTCCTTCCTTCCTTCCTTCCTTCCTTCCTTCCTTCCTTCCTTCCTTCCTTCCTTCCTCTCCCTCCCTCCCTCCCTGCCTCCCTCCCTCCCTCCCTGCCTCCTTCCCTCCCTCTCTGCCTCCCTCCCTCCCTCCCTTCCTTTTTCCCTCCCTCCCTCCCTCCCTCCCTCCCTTCCTTCCTTCCTTCCTTCCTTCCTTCCTTCCTTCCTTCCTTCCTTCCTTCCTTCCTTCCTTCCTTCCTTCCCCTCCCTCCCTTCCTTCTCCCCCCCCCTCTCTCTCTTGGCTTATAGGGGAGTTTGAACCCAGGGCCTTGGGTTTGCTCAGCTTGCTTGCTTGGCTGGTGCCACCACTTGAGTCACACCTCTAGCCTGGTCTTTTGCTGGTTATTTTGGAGAGGAAGTTTTGTGAGCTTTTCTTTCTGAATTGGCCTCAATCTTTGGTCTTCTAGAGCTTAGCAATCCTAAGTAGCTACAACTGCAGGTATGAGCCACTGGCATACCTCTGCAAATATTCCCTTCATTAAATTATTTTCAATAAAAATCATCTGAATACCTGTTAGGATCTATAAAAGATACTTAAACTACTTTTTGCAGCACTGGCTGTTACTTAGGCCCCCAAAATTAACTAAAAGCAGGCCAAAAGCTAAGTATTTATGCACATTGACTCGAATCTCTCTCATCTTGGGAATCCAGAAAGAAGTTATGAACAAGCAACTTTGAAAACAGGGAAACTGTTGAGCAGACAGAAAATGCCTTCTCATCATCTTGTCACAAAAGGTAAAAGTGCCCAAAATAAGGGAGCAGCCAGAAAGCTCAAAACAGAATCAACAGTAACTTGTTCACTCACCTCAAGAGATGATATCAATAACAACTTCTTTCTCTAGAACCTCAGAGAATAAAGACTAAGATGACCTAATGATCACCCAGGCCACAACCACAAATGTGACTGCTTTAACTAGGCACACCTCTCTCCCCCTACACTTAGTTCTTGGTGCAGAGCTTACAATTTGTGTCTGTGCTCAGAAGATGACTTAAGATGGGTTGAAGTGCTTACTTCAGTTCTTCCATGGATGTCCACACCATGTAATAAAACTCCTTTCTCTGCTCTTTACCATTACCATCGCTTTATTTGGTGTATGGAGTTAGTGGACAAATGCAACATGTAGAACTCCTGGAATTTGAGCCTGGGGTTTAAAGGCCCTTGTGTATGACATATAAGAATACATATAGCATGTCAGGTGAGGTGGCTCACACCCCTAATTCTAGCTATTCAGGAGGCTAAGATCATGGTTTGAAGCCTGTACAGAAAAGTTTTTAGGACTCTATCTCCAAAATAACCTGCAAAAGCTCAATTGGAGGCATGGCTCAAGTAGTAGTGTCAGCTGAGCAAGAAAAGCATACTTGGCCATAGGACCTTTATAAAATGAGTTTTATGTAGGATCTTGTATATGGTGGGCCCCTCAATGTTTATCCTATGCTAATTTCATAAGGATGTTATACCTGTAATAATATCTTAATCTTATAATTATTATAATATTTACTATACTAAATTATATGTATTCTGTCTC